TGGGAGGAGCAAGTCACGAATCTGTCACATGACGTCTTCCGAAAATCAGGATTTGAGGTAGAGACTGTGACCCGCTTGCCATACCTATGTGAAGGGGACATGTACAACGATTACTACGTTCTTGATGATGCAGTTTTTGTTCTTAAGGCGTCAAACGTGACTGAAGACTCTGGTCAGTGAAAAATGAATCTTGACCAATTTTGCCAAAATGAACTTTGAAAAGGTGGGTTAAAGTCAGTCAAAAGACTGACAAATATTTTTCTTGTTTTAAACAAAAAAGGGGTTGGAAGCGCCGGAATTATGTTTACCAAACATTTTGTGTGACTGTGATACCTCGCCATTTTAAAACAGGTCACTTTATTCCCATACCTCAAAACGGTGTACGGTGCCGGGATGGTACAGTAAGAGCTACACATCGCTATACTGTACTGTATCATGTTCTTGTTTGGGAAGTGTAAAAATTGTTTCTTTCCATATCAATGTGAAAAAAATCTTATCTAAATGCACATTTATTGACATGGTTTAAATGACTGATTTTATACTGATTTACATGATGCTAGTTATAAAGGTTCCCTCAAGTGAAACTTTTTTTTCACTGGTTTAAAAAAAAAAGCATGCATTGAAATCTAATTCATTTACTCATCATGTACAGATTCAAAGATAAAACCAAATATAGATTAAACTTTTAAATGTGCCATTATTGCTTCTTTTTGATGATGTAATATGAATCTACAAAATAGCAAATAAGAAGGTACCGGTACCATTTTGTCGCTGTCGGGCGGAAACCCAGTCTGTCCAAATATGTTCAATTTAATCTTTTTTCAACAATTCGATGCTCTTGAAGTTTTATAAAACTTTGCCTCTAACCTCACTTGGCAGAGTCATTCGACTTAGGAGGCACCTAAAAATGGAAAATATATTTTTAGACGTTCGATGCTCTTGAAGTTTTATAAAACTTTGCCTCTTCTAACCTCACTTGGCAGAGTCATTCGACTTAGGTGGCACTTAAAAATGGAAAATATTTTTTTAGACTATAACAAATGAGAATAGTTGGATTACATATATTTGAGAAGACATGTTTAGCTGCAATCGATTGCTGTAATGCTACGTTTGGTAACTCCAACAAGTTTTTTTTTTCCTGATTTGGTGAAAAGGAGCCACTTTAGAGATGCAAGAATTCCGCCCTACAACGGAATTTGTTTGATCAACTTTTGGAATGTTTACACACTTTTTGTTTGCGCTGTCAATGAACCAACAAATGAGAATAGTTGGATTACATATATTTGAGAAGGCATGTTTAGTTGCAATCGATTGGTGTAATGCTTCGTTTGGTGACTCCAGCAAGTTTTTTTTTCTGATTTGGTGAAAAGGAGCCACTTGAGAGATGCAAGAATTCCGCCCTACAGCGGAATTTGTTTGATCAACTTTTGGAAAATGTCGCATTTTTACACACTTTTTGTTTGCGCTGTCAAGGAACCAGTGCTACCAACCCCATGGGAACACGACCAAGATTCCGAAGTTCCAATCATTGTTTATGTATGCACACAATATACTCACAAAACTGAGTACATCCCTCACATTTTTTGGAAATATTTGACATATTTTTATGGGATAACACTGAATTGTCGTAATGGCGCAAATTAAGTGTGGCTTTTTGCTTCCATTTATGTGTCCACGCGGAATGAATAAATTCCGAGTTTTTCGTCTGAAATTAAACGCAACACGCGTGTGCATAAATTATAACTACGAAAACTCCTATTCTGATTGGTCGAGCCCGGAAGCGGATACGATGTCCTATTGGCTGTTGTCTTGGTCACGTCCCCGAGCCACGTCGCGCATTACTCGCCATTTTCCCCTCAATCTTAGCGAGATACAATCACTTTATCCTCGTCGGGGGTATCAAAAGCGATCTGGCCACACATATTTCGTTATTGAAGACTATTTTAGATCATCGCGGACTCTTCGTTCCTCTCACATCTGCTGGAGCTCTCTGAAACATGAACATCTTCAGGCTAACCGGCGATCTGTCTCACCTAGCAGCCATCATCATCTTGCTGCTAAAAATCTGGAAAACCCGGTCTTGTGCCGGTAAGTCTTCACATCCCTTCATCAGAAACCTTTTACCACTTCATAAAGTGCAGATAACTTAACGTCATTTGTAATTCCATAATTCGATAATAAGCGTATCTGTCGTATCATGCTTTGCAGCTAGTTGTAGCTAACCTGCAAATGTCGCTTGTCACAGGTGTGCCCTGTCGTAAGGCATTTAATGATTAAGACATGTTTGGCAGCCCAATTGCTGCACAATTAATTGCAGCATAATTTGGTGTGCGATTAATCAAAGAGTACCTGCCGTTGGTTCATAGTCTCGTTGTGCAACTTTTGTTAGAGCAGCAGGCCCCTCGCTTTACGTGAAAAGGTTTCAGTTCGGTTGATCTTAGAACAGTAACCCGAGCTGTATTGTAAATGTATTTTGACAAGAAAGCTGACTATGTTGTCTGATCACTGACTGACGTGGCTTCAAACAGCACCTTCCACTCTTGTCAGAGTTGCCCTAGACGAATCAAGGCGACTCATTTCCATCATCACCGACAACAAAGAATCATTCGGGTGCATTTATGCAACGGGATTTTTGGTCTCTTGTCAGGAATTTCCGGAAAGAGTCAGATCCTGTTTGCCTTGGTCTTCACCACTCGCTACTTGGACCTGCTCACATCCTTCATTTCCGTCTACAATACAACCATGAAGGTGGGACACGTTGCTCATCCTGAAGTTTAAATAATTGGTGTGTTCCTCAAAGGTTTTCAACGCAGTTCTGAGGACCTGATGAGATGCTAAATTGGCATGCCTTTGTTGACAGGCGGTTGCTTGACAATGTGGATGGGCGTTACATCTGCAGCTGATTGAACGCAGAGCAAGGGAGTGACTGTTGCCCATTTTGTCTTTCAGATGATCTATATCGGATGTGCATATGCCACCCTGTACCTGATCTACATGAAGTTCAAAGCGACGTATGATGGAAACCACGACACGTTCCGAGTGGAGTTTCTCGTCGTTCCTATCAGTGGCCTCGCGTTTCTCGTTAATCACGACTTCTCTCCGCTGGAGGTCAGACATTCCGCATGTTTGCATGCCCTCCCAAGATAGGAAAATTCAGATTTTTTTTCTTTAACCTCCTGCAGGATATCCTGATATTGCTGTTGTAGATAGTGGAAACAATCCAGCTAAAATCTGAGGAAAAATATGCACCCAAAAATCCCAACTGTCATCATACATGACATAGGGAATGTCTCCATTGTGAGACAAATAAAGGTTTTCTTATCTTGTATGGGACATCTATTGAGACTTGTGAATTTACACCCAGGGTAAAAGCAAGTCCGCCGCTGTAACATCGAAATCTCCACATTAAAACTTAAAATTTGACGCATAAGATGACAGCGGTCTTTCCGCTTTTGTGTGCCGCTCCGCCGACTTGTTTGTAACCTCTTCAACGTAGCGTTCCTTTCATTCTGTTCTGCTCCAGATCCTGTGGACTTTCTCCATTTATTTGGAGTCAGTGGCCATCCTGCCGCAGCTCTTTATGATCAGCAAGACGGGCGAGGCTGAGACCATCACCACACACTACTTGTTCTTCTTGGGCCTCTATAGAGCCCTATACCTCATCAACTGGATATGGAGGTTCTACTTTGAGGGATTCTTCGACATGATCGCCATTGTTGCAGGGGTGGTGCAAACCATCCTCTACTGCGACTTCTTCTACTTGTACGTCACGAAAGGCAAGCGCCGTCTTTGCCTTTTTATAGGGTCCACTGACAGATGTCTACTACATCTACCACGCTACTGTAGTGTAATGTTCTTCTTTCCCGTGACTCATTTGTGCCACACGCTTTCAATCTCGTTGTAGTGCTCAAAGGAAAGAAGCTAAGTTTGCCTGCTTAAGTGCCAAAATGGAGCATATTGGTAGACTGAAGGAGGGGGACAGGCCGGGCGGAGGAGACGCAGCGGATACCTCGAAGCCCCCTCTCCACATTCACCACCACTCCCTCCTCTTCCCCTCCCGCAACAGTAAGATGCTTGAGACAGAGCAAGCAGGAGCGGCTGTCTGCATCGTCTACTGACCCAGCATCAGAATGTCTGCAGAAGCTCGCCCCAGGATTTTTTTTTTTTTCTGTCTGATGCATCTTGCATTACCTTTTTTTGTATGACTTTGTATAAAGGACAACAAAGTGGTAAATATTTTCTACGTGAAAAGGAAAAGTTATCCAAAAATGTTTGGAAATTTTGTTGCATTTACAATTCATTTGGCCTTGTATAATATTCAAACGGTTATAAGTGGGATATTATTCAGTTTGGGATGGGATGGATGTTCTAAATAAATGCACACTGCTTTTCTTTCACTTCTATTTTGAGAGGAAGACATTGCATCCTCCAAAGTTGGTGAAAAAATCTAAACCTTCAGTTTTAGCAGTAAACAGCCACTTTTTTTAACGTGATTTCTACATTCACAGTAAAAAAAGTAAAACAGCATGATTGGAATTTAGGAGTACTATAGTTGAAGTGCTTACACAGTTGATCAGTATCTGCTATTAAACCATGTTGAATAGATTGCTTATTAAATATATTCAACACAGTATGTTACAAATCCGGGGTAAACTTTCTCCAAACATCACATTCACGACGCGGTGGCTGCACACATCTTATTTTTTTTCCTAATGAACAAGTACCAATGGTCACACTGTTGTGTATACCGTAAGTGTAACTTTTAAAGCATTCTTTTGCTCTTACAGGTTCCTCTCGTTTACGCAGTCAATTCAAAACTTTTAAATTACCAGCTGTGTCCACGTGTTGGCAATTCATCACAAATAAAGATTATGAAATCGCTTGTCTTTCAGTTGTTACTATTACAAAGAGAACCACGCAGACGTAGAAAATGCTTTTATTATTGCATAGTACACATTTTTTTTTGGGGGGGGGGTTGAACTTCAATATAAGCCATTTACATTCACTGTTTTTAATGTATTACAAAGTCCATATTCAAGTTCCTCGAGAGTGACAAGGAAGCAATTCGGTCTCAAAGTTAAGGGGCGGATTACTGTTTTCGAATTGACGTTGATGCATGTGGTATTTACCCAGAATTATTACAATTTTGCAGGTTTTAAGTATTAATAATCGTTAAAAAAACCTCAGCACATGCGCAGTTAAGACGTTCTTACGCTCATTTCCGAACTGGTCATTCAGTCTTCCGACCGCATCAAAATCATCTTAAAATTAATTTTAAAAAAAATGACGTTGGCAACCAATTTTGTGCGTGAGATATGTCGAGGCCTGTTTGTGAGAAGTGGAATTATTGCGGATACTGCGAAGTGCAAGTCGGACACAAAATACCGTAGGACAAAGCTAGCTCGAACGGCTAGTTGAGTCGCTGTAGTTTGACGATTGGAGAATTATTTATACTATACACGCCAACCGCAATATACAAACATTGTTCTAGAAATTGCGAGTATTGTCAGCACATATGATGACAACTTTACTCGTTACCTTTAATTACGAGCTAACGGCCTCGGATGATTCGAAATACAAATTTTAAACAAGAACACGCTGAGTTGAAGGGAAATTGGAAAAGTCGCCGCATTTACTGTCAGGACTCGAAGGGAAATAAATATGAATACAGGTACAGTCGTTTTAAAAGTGTACACGAGTTAATATACTTACTCGGTAGGTGAATGGTTATCTAATGCAATTGGAAAATGAACCTCTTCATATTTCATTTAGGTGTGCAACTTCCATTGTCTGCGTTGCGCCTCCTGGTCTCACCGGTTAAGATCGTTTCTGCTGCAATCTGGCAAATCATCGAGCATCGAGTTGTGGCTGATTATGGCATGCTGGAGGATTTTGTTTCCATGGTGACAGACGTTGTGCCAGAGTTGCTGACCAACTGTCAGCGGACACAACTCGTCCTGGGCCTCAGAGCACAGGTTAGGTGGCCAAATCCAAATTAGGACGCAAGCGCTTACTAACGTACTGATAGTAAAAGTTAAATCCTAAAATGTCATTTCATTCCTTCTGATTCTAGCTGATCCTGGAGTTATGTCGTTTCGAAGGCGAGGCTCATTCCAGTGATGTAGAGCAACACCTGGATAGGATGAACATCCTTGTCAAGGTATTCAATTTTGCACGAGTTTGAGGTCACCTCATTTGAACATCACAAAACATATCCTGTGCTTTATGGAATGGTTGCGCGTTTTTTATCTGCTGCTCATGAGATTTCACGATATTTTGCAGACCTGTGCTGTAAACGACGATGTTAATCCATGCGCAAGTTTTGTGGATTTTGTGAAATACTTGCTGAACAATCCTGCAGAGAGGGAACACTTTTTCACTGTAAGTGCGAGTGTTACAAACCTAATGAAACACTCAGGGTGAAAGCCCTCGAAAGAAAAAAAAAAGTTTTTGTTTAATGCGTGGCAAACTTTAACTTATGACTGGTGGCAATAAACAGGGGTTCACTGGATTTGTTTTCCTTGTAGGAGGTTTTTCCCAAGGAGTTTGGCCCATCATACGATAAGGCTCTTAAGTCCCTGATGGAACTCTTTCTTTCCAGACTTGAGACATTTCTCCCTGGGCAAACCTTCCAACAGGTACAGACAAGAAAAATAACATTACAAAGACTTTCGTTGTATTCACTATTTACTTTCATGTAGGTTGCCACCACGTGCGGTGAGGTGTCCTCTGTTCTGGGAGACTCCTTGAAGACCATGCGGAGCTGTGATGCGCTCAGAACTCTGCTTCGGCATCACAAGTCCCGCAACCTTCTTGGACACAATGGCAAGTCTTTTGCAGTTTCCTTGATTTGATTTGATTTTGCAATTTGAGAACAGTTTCTCCCATCCACTGAGGCACGTGGTGTCTTATTTTCAGCTTGAAGTTACCAGATGCGGTTTCTTGTCTTCGTAAAGGGTTATACTGTACATTTTCAGGCTGAATATACACCAGATGTTTTGTGTGCTGACCTTCTAATCGAATAATGAATTGAGCACCAAAATGTTCTAATTTTGTCCCTTGACAGATATTTACTCGGATGACACCTCCATCGTGTCTGCTCTCAAGTGTGCCGCAGTCAAAGATATTTTCTTGCAGGAGACTCTTGCATGTACATCTTCTCCACATAAAGAAGCTAAAACAACCACCACAGGGAATCGGGGCATGGTAGCGCTCGATGAAGCTCCTGGAATGGTTGAGTGTGCTTCTAAAGAAATCCCAAATAATGAAGAAAATGTCGAAAGTCAAATGAGAACGGATAGCTGCGTTGAAGGGAAAACACTTGATGGGTCTTTACAGTCTGGATCTTTGTGTTTGAACCAAGGACCAAGGACGAAAACGACTTTGGCGGAAGAGAACAAAGTTGGGCTTGGCGGTAAAGAGGAGCTCCCGGTTAAGAAATCCGTTTCCAGTTCGATGAAAGCATCGATGGTGATACCTTCGGATTACTCTGACATCGAAGACAATGGAAGCGAAGAATCTTCCTGGTCTTTCTACTCAGATGAGGACTCTCGCGGTTATCCAAGTCCGTGGTCCGGATGCTCTGGTGAGGATGTGACCTCTGTCGGGTCATCTCCAAATGTCTTAAATAAGGTCACTCCCGTCAGAAACGAAGACAAACTATCAGCGGCTTGCAGCACAAAGCGTCTCACCAGCCAAAAGAGCGCTCCTCAAAAAAAGCCCCGTCAAGTCATGTGCTTCATCTGCAACGAGCAAGTGAGCACCAACCTGAAAACTCACTTGAGAACCCACTTTCCGGACGGTCAATACACCTGCCCGCAATGCAACAGCAGGTTTAAACTCTTCTCATCTCTGAAGAAGCATTTGGTCAAAAAATGCTACGAGCACGCTCAGCAGCGGGCGGAACCTGGGCCGGACCAGGATCTTTATAAATGCGACGGCTGCGAAAAGGCCTTCAAGCATAGCCGGTCACTGGAGGCCCACAAACAGACCCATGCCGAACTCTATTGCGGCGTGTGCAGGAAAGTCTTAAAGGACGCCGCGTCGTTGGAACGACATAAGGCCTCCCACACCGAGTTTCGGTGTACTCGCTGCGAGCAGACCTTCACTCTTTTCAAGCCCTTGCGCAGACATTATCAATATTTCCACAAGATTAGCAGACCCTTTAAGTGCATCTGCTGCTCCAAAACATTCTCCAGGCTTGAGCATTTAATCCGACACGAATGGAGGGACACCGGTCAGCTGCCGTTAAAGTGCAATATTTGCGCCATGGGATTTCGAAGCGATTACGATCTGGTTTCGCATCAGAGGGTTCACACAAAGGAGAAACCCTACCTCTGCGGAGAGTGTGGGAAAACCTTCTCCCAGAAGCCCAATCTGCTGCGGCACCATCGCCTCATCCACAGCGAGCAGAAAGACGAAAAGAAATACTTTTGCGCCGAGTGTCAGACGTCCTTTAAAGAGAAAGGGGCTCTGCTACAGCACCAGAAGCGCAAACACCTCAACGAAGTCACCCGCAGCCGTCTGTGCCCGTACTGCGGGAAGTCATTCTCGGCGTCATCCATCGCTCGGCATAAGTTGATCCACACCGGAGAGCGACCTTTAAAGTGCAACGCTCCCGATTGTGACAAGACCTTCTTGACGGCCACCGAGCGGAAGAAGCACTTTCTCATGCACCACTCGACCGAACGACCGTTCAAATGTGATATTTGCGGAAAGGGCTTCATCACAGTCGGGATACGGAATGAGCACGTGAAGCTCCATTCAGGCAAGAAGCCGTTTGTATGCGAAATTTGCATCAAGGGTTTCTCAAAGCGCCACACCTTGAATAGACACAAGAAACTTGTGCATGATGTTCTAAGTTAGGACCCGCTCCATTTACGAGTTCTGGTCCTTGCGTACCAAAATTTGAACACAAGTTGAGACGTGTCGTAGTCTTGTCACTAACACAGGAATGCTAAATGCTAATTAATGACTCCAAAGGGCTATTCTTCTTCCGTCTAATCTCGTTTTAATTCATAAAATGGGTCTGAAGATGACAGAGATAAATTTAACCGTGTCATGGACAGCGGTTACTACAGTGGACAGCTTTTATCATGTTATCGGGTGACAAGGTGCATGAAAGGGTGAAGTTATTGAACAACAATGTTGCGTCAGTATTTGTGAGATAAAGGTGTGTTAATGAATTTGCCAGTTTCATCTGCTTTTTTTGTGTATTATACTGAAAATGCTGAAGCTAAACAAATACCATTTCGGTTTGGATGCAATGAACTTTCTTGTCTGTTTGTTTCTTCCATATGTAAACTTTTTTTCTGATATTTCTCTTCAGTTAGGATTCAGGTCGTTTGTACAGAAAACTGAGTACCTGTTCACAAAATGGCCTACAAGCACACACCTAGGTGCAGCGATTGAAGTTATTGGATACATGGTTGGTGATGCATTTGTAACTTGATTTGAGAATATTTTGCCATGAACAAATTAGCAATGCATCATGTTCCTTTTTTTTCAATGTAAAAAAAAAAGAAGGCTTCCATCTTTTGCAGAGCTGTTCATTTTCTTGACTCACTGTCACCTTTATTTTTTTCATTTCTCTTAAATAGAGTCAGTGATGTATAAATAACATGATTCATTGTTGCTACCTTCGAACCGATTCTTGGTTAAAAACAAAGTTGAACATGTAGCTTGAGTACTTCTGAGTGGTAGGTGAGTTGCATTAGGATTTGAAACACTTCCAGTGAGGTATCGTCCAAATCAACTGATTGCTAAACAAAGAAACGATCTCGTGATTAAATATTGTTTTAAGGGAGTTTCTTCAACAAACATCTTGTAGCCTGGAACTTTTACGTCTGCGCCGCAGTATGTTCACTTGTCATTGTCACCTTCAGTAAAGCTGCAATATGGCAATAGTTGATTCACTGGTGAAAAGCACCAACGTGTGGAAATTATTCTTATCCAGGCCAAATTGTAGGTAGTTAGGGTCCATTTATTTAATAATTGTTTTTAAAAAATATTCTGCAGTCGCATCGGTAGTTATAGAAGCTGAACGCTCTTTTAAACACGAGACAAATTGGTCTGGCCCATCTTTAGATGACCCCATTGATTTTTTTTTTTTTTGTCGGAAATTGAAAAATACAACCACCCCCCTCCCTCAAGAAAATCGACATTGCGTAATCGTGAAAACATATTTGACAATTTGCGTAGGAAGTGGAACTAATAATTCGAAGAGTAATCCGCCGGAATATTATTCCGAACGGAACGCAAAGGAAACCGTTGACGCACAAAGCTCCGTTTCCTATGGTGTGTTTAGATGTCTGCTGTTTAAAAATAATCTTGGAGGAAGAGTGTTGACACACAGATGCACATTCGCCCCACCGCGGTGTAATGTGAATATATTAGGATGGATGAAGGTTCCTCCGAACAACCCGGTGAGTAAAAACTGGGCGGATTAGTTTAGCTAGGCCTCAACGCAGTTGGACGCGCGGGAATAGCATTGCTAACTCATGTTGGATACGAGTTTGTTGCTAAAATTACTTTCGTTGGTGGGCGGAAACTATTTCATTTACGTTACTTAAATTGCTTGTCGCTGACTTGATGCGGCGTTTGCTTCATAGTATGTGCTAATTTTTGTGAATTTAGATTCCGTCTTCCGCTCCCTTAGCAGTCACAAGCTAAGATTAGCAATCGATGTAGGCTGGTTCCAAACCGAACAAATCGGGTCGAACGAATGATAAGATTTAGCACTGCCATTTGCAGTTAAACTAAGCATTTATGCAGACATGCGTTTATCATTCTGATCGAATGAAATCGCTATCGAATTGTGCTCTGTAGTAAGGAACGGCTAGTATGTATGGGTTAATGCGTCAATTGAGATGAAAGCTAAAATTTTTTTATTAATGTCGGCATCCTTTCAGATTTCCTTGCACTGTATATGTGGAAAAACGGGTTTTCCCCGAGCTGGTCTGAGTTGCTCTGTTCCCAGACGATATATAAATATTTGCTGTCTCTATAAAATGTACTTATTAGTTACGATTTGTTGCGTCACATTTGAACCACTTGGCAAAATGTATACCGGTACTTAAGTACGTGTTTGCGCAAAAGTATCAATGTCCTTGTATAACATGTCCATGATATAGTTATACATTTCTCTCCACGTTCAGGTCCCTCTCTCCCCCTCCCCACTCTGCGCCTCCTGGTCTCACCGATTCGTCTGATCTCTGCAGCCATCTGGCAGACAATAGATCAGAAGATTGTATCGGATTATGGACTGCTTGAGGAGTTTGTATTTATGGTTACTGAAATTGTTCCTCAACTCCTTTCGACCAGGCAACGTGCGGAACTAATTTTGGGTCTTCGAGCACGGGTAAGAAAACGTTCTGAACTCTTATCTCAAGTCATACCTCCATCTGTTGAGCAAATTTGTGAATGCAAAATGTGGCTAAAATTATATTGAGCAAGTGGTCATTATGTTGTGACCATGTCAGTAAATTTACCTTGTTAAAAAAAATGCGGTATCGTAATCTTCAATTATTGAAGTATTATTTTTCTCTTTATGTCTGCAGCTCATTCTGGAGTTGTGCCGCTCTGAGGAGACTGCCAACATCCAAACCATCCAGCCACATCTCGACCGTATGCAAAACCTTCAATCGCTTTGGAAAGTAGAGGTGAGTGGCGTGGTAAACCATTTTGAAACTCTCCTTGTTTATAGTCGTCCAATTTTCGCTGACCTTTCTCTATTTTGACCTTTTGTTTTCTCTTTTTTTTCAGATTGATAATGCAACACCAGACATTTCAGAGTCTCATTTTATGAACCTTGTGCGGAATTTGCTGAGAAATTGTGTCGAGAGAGAGAACTTTTTTCAAGTAAGTTTATTTTTCACCTGAATGGCACCAAAATGTATTTGCACCTTGCAGTCATGTTGCTCACGCCCTGCTAATGTCACATCAATTTCATATACCTTGACCGTGATGCATGAGACTGTTTGCTTTGCCTGGCGATCTCAGAAGCAAAGATGAATTTTCTGTGTGCAGGATGTTTTTCCTGAAGATTTTGGTCCCACATACGACAAAGCAATCCAGACATTGATGTGGCTCTTTCTGTCCCGGCTCGAAAAGCTTATTCCAACTCAGTCTCTCCAGCAGGTAGGTCGCAACACACCCGAGTTTGTAAAATCCTGTTATATTCCATGATCTAGAATATGCACATCAGTGCCGCAGCTAGCCATCATTGGATTTTAAATCTTAAACACAGGTTAGTTACCATTTTGCTTCTCTTTGTTAGATCGCATCATTGCTAAGTGATTCCTCTTCAGTTCTGAGAGAGTGCTTGGAGTCTTACACCATGTCTCAGGGGCTCAAAACCGCGTTGGACACTCACAAAGACGTCAGCCAGTTGCAGGATGTTGGTAAGCATCGAGCATCCCGTCTTCATAGCTTTTCAATGAAAAAAAATTGTCATGAAGTGTTGTTTTTTTTTTTTTTCTCCTTTTAACTTTGGTACCCCAAACTGGATTAAGTATTAGGCTAATGATGCTTCCAATTTATTGTGAGCAAATAGGCAACCAATGTGGGCTGATTAGATGAATGTTAATCGAGTCCTCTCTTTATTTCTAGAATCTTGTGAGGTCGACAGTGGCATCTTGTCCGCTCTATGTCTTCCTCCTGCGGAAAGAGATGCCATGCTCAATCAGCCAGCAGCAACGGATCCAGAGACTAGCGCGGTCTACACAGACTGCACAGAGATGGAGGTCGAAGCTGGCAACAAAATGCCATTTTCCGAGGAAAGTGTGCAAAAAAAGTGGTTCGGAATTGATCAGGAAGAGAAGCCAGACGTTGGCGCGGGGGCCGCTCAAGAAGGAACAGGTGCGGATCATTGCGTAATGGAAGCGCACCATGACAACCTATCTGAAACTCTAATCATAGGGGAGGATGGCAAGGTGACGGTACTCGACAGCTTAGTGAAAACGCCCAACAGACGCGGGAGGAAAAAGAAGCGTCTTGACGATGAAGATTTTCAAATGCCGGCGGCCGCGCGGGATCCAGACTTTGACATGATGAAAAGACCGGTGCGAAAGAACCGCGGACTCAAGATGAAGCGGCTCCTGTCGCAGTGGCGAAAATCTGGAAGGTCGCCAGCCGCCGACAGTAGTCCAAAAAGGTTTTCGAGCTCTCTCGTCTCGGCCAAAGGCGATGACTTGGATGACAGAACGTGCGGCGTGTGCGGCAAAGTGGTGAGCCATGCCAGATTCTTGGAGCGTCACATGAGTCAACATGCCGAAGAGTTGACTTACTCCTGCACGGTGTGTCAAAGAAATTTCAAGAACTTCCGCTGGCTGCAGCAGCATAAATGCCAAAGTGTGACGACCGAGACGGAAGCCCAGAAAGAGAACGCGGACGGAGAAGACGACAAGTCCGCTATCCTCATTTGTGAGCCGGGCAACGAAGCCGTGCCGACAGACAGCACCGCAGACGACCCCGATTACGCGCCCGCTGGAGGAAAGCGGACCACCAAGGAGCCGGGACACAAGAGCCCAGACGACACTAAAACCATCCTGGACGGTCCATTCTATTGTCCCCACTGCAGCGCGGAGTTCAAGTGCAAGCAGACCTTTCGGTTTCATTTAAGAAACATCTGCTACAACGAGCAACAGGTGGATCCCGATCAACCCGAAGACATCCGGCATTGTTTCCGCTGCAACGAATGCGACAAGGCCTTCAAGTACAAGTCCACCTTGGATTCGCACAAGCAAACGCACAACCCGCTGTACTGCGAGGTTTGCATGAAGCTGGTGCGCGATTCGGAGGCGCTGGCCATGCATAAAGAGTCGCACACGCCGTTCCAGTGCAACCAGTGCGAGGATAGCTTCCCCGTGTTCAAGGCGCTGCACAAGCACTACATCGACGTCCACAATCCCGCCGAGCCTTTTACGTGCACCCACTGCCAGATGACGTTTGTCAGTTTGAAGCGTTTCATCCGACACGAATGGAAACACACCGGCTACCAGCCCTTTCAGTGCCCCCATTGCTCCAAAAGATTCCGATCGTACTCGGACCTCGTGGAGCATCAGAAAAAACACACTAAGGCCTATCCCTTCCTCTGCTGGGAGTGCGGCAAGAAATTCCGTCACGGCGTCACCCTGACGAGGCACGTCGAGCGCGTGCATCAGTCCGGCGAACTGCTCAGCGATAAAGCGTTACCGACGTTTGCCTGCGGCCAGTGCGAGAAGAGCTTCACCTCGAGGAGATGCCTCCTGAAACACGATAACTTCCATCACAAAGGCATGCGCTTCCCGTGCGAGCATTGCGGAAAGGGATTCTTCGGTAAAGACGCGCTCGTGAGGCACACTTTGATCCACACGGGCGAAAGGCCTTTCAAATGCGACGACTGCGACAAGTCTTTCCGTTCCTCGGCTGAACTGAAAATCCATCGCAGGTACCATACAGGGGAAAGGCCCTTTAAGTGTAGCATCTGCGATAAAGGTTTTGTCCAGTCCTGTTTTCTCACGCTACACATGCGAACCCACACTGGAGAGAGACCCTATGTTTGTGCGATCTGTAACAAAGCCTTTTCCAGTTTACACGGCCTAAAAAGACATCGCAGGCTTGTCCATGCATAGTTGAGGCAAACTTGGGTTCCACCGGATTAAAAATAGGACGTGGTTATGACAGGCTTTGTGGCTCCAAATGTTTATTATGAATATTTGAGGCACAGAGACAAAAGTGAAGTTGGGGGGGATTGGAACTAAATTAACGGGAAAGGGGGTGACTCGTCCTTCCTTTGTGATTGTCACAACGTCGCTTGTAAAGAACTCATGAAATTGTAAATTGCTAAAATAATGTAACTGTATTTTTTACAGAAACGTTTGCTGTAGTTCTACATAAGGTTAATATGTGCAAATGATAAAACAATAACTTGTTTGGGAATAAATTCAGCTTTCTTCAACGAATCGAACTTTATTTCTGTTGGTTACTGACGACTGTATTTGCACTTCACACCATGCCAGTTTTTTCTCAAAAGCGAGCCCCCCCCCCAAAAAAAAACCTATAATGTAAGAAGATCCAATGTCATACAGCAAAACAGACATTTAGCATATATTTTTTAACAGATTTCAAAATGAGAAGTGAGAATCTTACTTCTTTGTGTCCACTGATCTGTTATCATGTCACAGGACTAAAACTATGCAGAGGTGTTGATGGACTGGTAAACAAGTACCGTACATTTTAGTGCAATAACCTTCATATTTCTCTATTAATTTCATACAGTGACTACAGATTAGCATTTTTGTGTTTTGATTACAGTATCCATTTCACTTGATTACAGTACCTTGTGAACAAGTTTACCTGCTGCATCTATTAACATTTCCAATATGTTACAGTTTGTCCAAGTTCCTCCCTCAGTCAACATTTAACCAGCCGCTGTCAATAAATGTTAGGCATGCTCAAAATCTGCGGATGGTGGAGAAAAGCTGGCCTTTTAAGTCAACGTAAAAAAAGTACTAAGGCAATTACTGTATATTGCTTATGACTGTTACAAGCCAATTGAGTTGTTTATCCATATTGCTTTAACGCTAGAATCTGAGGGAATGCGCGAGAAAGCCTGTTTCTGCGGACAAGCGCTAAAGACTGGATCCTGTACGACCTCGCTGGCCGGCAGTTTTCCTTTCGGTAATGAATGACAAGTTGCACTGGAGGACCCCAAGGCAGTGTTCTGGCAACTTTCCTTTTCTTGGAATTCTGGTTCATGCATTGCATGATGGAGATGTGTGGAAAACAGGCAAGTACTCACACTGTGCTCCAGGATGCTGAAATACAAGTAAAAGTACTGATTCAACACCTGTAACTGTAAGGAAGCTGATAGCTTGACAAAAGAAAATACAGTAATCACACACAAAAATATTTACCTGTAACAATAAAAATAATCTTGCATGTGACATCGTTTCCTAAACCAAAAAGTTGTTGGTGTTGCTATCAGAATGCATCCATGTAGCTTTGATAACAGTAATAAAAAATGATAAATCAAGAAATACATCTGATTTGTACAAGCCTGTGATTTGTTTTCCAACCATTTTGACGACAATTCCGTATTCACTCTCCGTGGGTTAATTTTGCTTCCTGTTGATTATTGCTGTATTTTTTTTTCCAGTATGTAATGAATACTGGACTTCAAACCTGTTTCCATTCATTAGGAACGTTATAGTACATTTGGAGGATTACTGTATTCTGTTATTCCACTGTTAATTACTTTAAACGGCTGGTAACATGACCACAAAGCACCCCAGATAGGACTCGAACCCACAATTCCTGGCTTCGAAGGCGAGTGCATTATCCATTAGGTCACTTACAATAAACGTGAAGACATGATGCGCGAATAACAACGGTATAGCTTTTAGACGCCCCCCCAAGTGGTTTTATTTGGACCGTCACTTGTTGAATTGTTTGACTTTTTTTCATCGTCTGCAACACAAACAGCTCCACGCAAGGTTAATTTTGTTTTGCAACACGCTCATTTAGCAGAAAAGAGGACGAATCCAACGGAAATTTAGCCCGACCGAGAGTACTTGACAAGTCTCGGCTAAACAGGAACCAGCGTCTGTTGCATCCTTCCTTCGACACGCAGCCAACTCCGGAGGAATGATGACGCTAGCCAGTTAGCCATCCGAGCAGCAGTAGTTGGATTATTGATTACACAAATTGGAATTTGGTAGCCTCGCGCGAAACGATGAATTCACTGTCGTCAAAACCGCAAGGGAACGGACTCCTTTACGCTGGATTTAACCAGGACCACGGTGAGAAGTGAAGCTGTCATATGTTTTTTCCCCCCTCACCCCAAAAGGAATTCGGATAGCGCCGCGGATGCTAAGCTAACACTGCTAACTCACTAGTTCCTCTGAAAATAATCGACATTGAGTGTAACCGACCGTAACTCGTTTTCCTAACTTGGAAATATCGAATACCACGACAGTTGTCTATGTCACTTGCAGAACTTTTAACATAAAACACCTACCGTTTAATTGTTGTTAGCCACTGCTAGCCTTCGCTAGCTACCGCTTACGTTATTATTGTGGTTTCATTCGATGGTCAAGCATCAGCAAATATTTAAGTTAATAAAAAACGTTGAGGTTCTGAATTGGGGTGTGAACAAATCACCGTACACGTGAATTAATGTTTGCCAACCACTATCATATTTGGAGTTCCATGGAATGTTCACCTCGAACGGGGCGTTCCGTTATCATCATCACATCTTAATGTACTGTTATGTTATTCACCATGTGTCCATCATTATATTTCATCGTTACAAATCAATGTTATACAACGGCAAGGTAAAACCTTGCGAAATAGAGTGGCACCCACAACTAGAGATGTGCACCCTAGCCTTGGTCTCTCTTACGTGTCTTTGTTGCTTTGTCTCCTGTAATTACGGTAATCTTTTAGTTTAGATAATATAGTCCTAAAGTTGTTTTTTTTTTAAATACGTGTTGACGGTTCAATACGTCAGTCATTCTAGTAATTATGGTAGTTGCATATCATCATATCATATATCATATCATATATCAGTGAAGGTTGTTGGTGGTAGATTTCTTGGGCTAAACTGTTACTGTATCAAATGTTAATCCTTGACTTCTGATCCCTGTCTGTTAAATATGCCTCTGCAGGATGCTTTGCCTGTGGAATGGAAAATGGATTTCGGGTTTACAACACGGATCCTCTTAAAGAGAAGGAGAAACAAGGTAAAATAATGTCTGAAAACATTTCACTGTTCAAATTTGGAGAGCAGAGTTACGCAGTGTGGTGTTTATTACAGTATACAGCAACCAAACGGAAGTTAAGAGTAGGGATGTAGAAGCGGAATTGTCCCCTCAAGTTAGGCTAAATATATTACTCAGCAGCTTGACCCTTTCCAGAGTTGCTTGTCAACTTGAGTTATGCTGTGGGCAAGGAGCTTTTTCAAGCTGAGAACAGAGCCTCGTGTGTTGAGTGTGTGCGGGATGTAATTATTCTTCTCTGGTTTCTGAGCCCAAAGGCAAATGAATAAGCAGGACTGGTCAGAGGCAAAACTGATTTTGTTTGATATCGAAGCATGTCGCGACACTTTTTTTTAGAATTCTTGGAGGGCGGTGTCGGCCACGTGGAGATGCTTTTCCGGTGCAACTATCTGGCGCTTGTGGGTGGAGGAAAAAAACCCAAGTACCCCACCAATAAAGGTATGCTTTTGAAACAGGAACAGGAGCTTCTAATTTGATAAGATGTGGCTCATGACCGTGTCCTGTTAAATATTGATGCCTTTTTCATTTTGGTTGTTGACTTCACTGTAGTCATGATTTGGGATGACCTGAAGAAGAAGACAGTCATTGAGATTGAGTTCTCCACAGAAGTGAAAGCTGTCAAACTTCGGCGTGACAGGTACTACCCGCCACCCCCAAATAAAAAAAAAACATTTAATAAAACCGTCTGTACATGATCATTCATTGTTTGCCGTTTTGTGGTCAGAATTGTGGTGGTCCTGGACTCAATGATTAAAGTGTTTACCTTCACCCACAACCCCCATCAGCTGCACGTGTTTGAGACTTGTTTCAACCCCAAAGGTCAGGCCCTGCTCTTTCCAGGTTGCTTTCACAAATCTTTAGTTTTGAACCTAAGCTACAATGTGATTGACCCAACTGTTCTTTCTTCAGGTCTGTGTGTGCTGTGTCCCAATAGCAACAACTCCCTTCTGGCCTTCCCTGGCGCTCACTCGGGCCACGTTCAGATTGTGGACCTGGCAAACACAGAGAAGCCCCCGGTGGACATCCCTGCCCACGAGGGGGCGCTGTGCTGCATCGCCCTCAACCTGCAAGGGACCCGAATAGCAACGGCATCAGAGAAAGTAAGCCAACTGTCCAAAATGGCCCAAAGTCATTTCTTTTTGATTGTAGCCATTTTAAAACTGGACTTAAACGTGTGTTGTTTATCCACAGGGGACACTGATCAGAATTTTTGACACGTCGGCTGGTCAGCTCATACAGGAGCTGAGGCGAGGCTCTCAGACGGCCAATATTTACTGGTGAGGCTGCCGCAAGACAAATATGTAAACATGTCAGTGGCCTTATACGGGCTTCGCGGTAGTGCGTTGTGATTTGGGAGCGTCCATTTGATAGCAGACCTACAACTGTTTACAACTATGTCCACTTCGATCAGCACTGAGGTTAAAGGTTGCTTGATTTTACATCAGTTAGCCATTGATTTGTGGTTATAATCCCTTCACTGTTAATAGTCACTGAATAAAGGAACAAACAAACAAATATGGATGCAGTTTTCAGTTTTAGCATGTTGGGTAAAAAGCAATTTAGAAATGTTTGCCCCACCCACATTTTTAAAAAAATTAATTGACCTTGTCACGTTTGGGATTTTGAAGTCGAGCCTTTTCCATGTCCTTGTTTGCTGCAGAACGGTTGCGGTTAATATTTTCTTCCCACTCTTCCATTTTTCCTTTTTGTAGCATAAATTTCAACCAGGATGCGTCCCTCATTTGTGTATCGAGCGACCACGGAACGGTGCACATTTTTGCGGCTGAAGATGTAAAGAGGAATCGGCAATCAAGGTTTGTCTATTCGTAAAGTTCTTTTGAAGCATGCCGTTTCAACTCATACCCACCATGCCCCCCCAACCCCGTCGGCTTGTGCCACAACAAGACTGCCCTGTGAATTAGGAAGTTTAGTGAAACAGAAATGCCGATATTGTCGTACTTGGCTTGAAAACAAAAATGACAACCGCGTATGCGTTTGAGACATTAGTAACACTTTGTCACTGCGTTTGTGTCATTCTACAGTTTGGCCTCCGCCGGCTTTCTTCCCAAATACTTCAGCTCCATGTGGAGCTTTTCCAGGTTCCAGTTGCCCTCGAGCTCCCCGTGTTTGTGTGCCTTCGGAACTGAGCCCAACGCTGTCATAGGTAAGAGCGCTTGCGCACCCGCGCTGGTCCTTGTCAGAAAGTGCGAAGGCACATCCGGGTCAAAGTTGAAAATGGATATTTGCCGAGATGGGCATTCACCTCACCTACCAACCACCAAGCACATGGTGTAATTTGCACAAGTATTTACAAAAAAAAACATAAAAAAAACGCTTTGATGATGTGGTTGCACACCCTCTTCCAACTGGGGGTGTGGCTGTGTTCAGAATTAACCAGTAACAGTCTATATAACTCATCTTAAATGAAATTCAGCGCACCCCTGTCGCCGTTTTAACTGCCTCTGACCAACCACAAATAAAGTTCAGCTGTTGCAGTCGCTTTTGTCATCGCGTCTTGCAGCACCGGCACTATTTGTGCACACAGCAAGTAATAATGTGAATGTTTCTCAGCATTGACTTCGCAACATTTCACATGCAGCTCTTCTTTCTGCACCCCCCCCCCCCCCGCCCCTTGTGCCTCGCAGCTATTTGTGCTGATGGCAGTTACTACAAGTTCCTGTACAACCAGAAAGGGGAGTGTTCCAGAGATGTCTACGCCCAGTTCCTGGAGATGACAGATGACAAAATATGACATTTCAATGCCTTTGAGGAGGGCTCAATTACAAAGCCTAGTTTTCTTTTTTTTTCCCCCCTCCCCATTATCCAGAATGGACCAGATGTCCCTGTACTTCAGTTCTCTTGAATGACTCTGCTGAAGGAGCTTCAACTGAGATAAAAGACACACAAGTTGTCTCTGGATTATCAGGGCGATCGATGTTGATGCCCACTCTTGAACCAAACGCGAGAGAAGAAAAAAACAAAAAAAACAAAAGCAAGGAAGTGTTTTGGACATCAGTCCTTTTTACGATGTCTTCCGATGACTTTCCAGTGAATGGCTGTTTTTTTTTTTTTTTTTGAAAGGCATAGATAATTTGGAGAGATTTTTGTCAACTCACGCCGCCTGAGCTAATTCGAGGGAGTGCCTCTTGAGTGGAGTAAGAACCTGCTAACAGCTTGTCGTGTATCACATGGCATGACGATACAAACGCATCACTGCGGCTGTGTGTGTGTTCTCCAAGCCGGGTCACAAAGAGTAAACCATGCATACATGGGGGGGGGGGGGGGTAATCCTACATCCTTCACACTTTTCAAGACTGAATATTAATTGCATACTGTTGTGCATAATGAAGTCGAATCATTTTGCCTCAAGCTTCTTTTTTTTTTAATACATTGTGCAATATATTTTTTTATTTAGCTGGTATACAAGTTTTGCTATCGCCAAGGTATGATTTTATTACTAAATCTAGCCAAGTGTTATGGCTTTTTTTGTTCAAGGGGAAGGCAACTCCAAAATTTTCTTTGCAATAAGTTGTTCTATGCGGCACAACTCATTTGAACTTGTTATTCTGATTAATATTGTTTGTGGAATATGATTTAGGCAGCAAAATCAACCCGCTTTTTATCAATCGCAAGTGGCGGCCATTTTACCACTCGCTGTCAACTGAAAATGACATCACAGTTGCTCAAGGCTCAGCTTGTTAACGTCACTTGACCAACCTCAGAAAACCGGTGATTGGTCGTTACCTGAACACTGTGTAACTGTGATGTCATTTTCAATTGACAGCATGTGGCAAAATGTCTGGGTGGATACCGCAATATTAATCAGAACAGCGTGTTTAGACTAGTGGGGGCACATAGAACAATATTGGAAACATGTTTTTTGTTGACATCCCTTAAAAGACACCACAGTCAATAATGCAAACAGTGATGCTACTGCAAACAATTAACTTGGAATCAATCTTGAAAATTAAAAAAAAAAATATCCAACAACTTGCGCACTTAGATTTTTTTTTTAGGGTGTACATTTGTCTGAGCAAATTCATGGTTATTGCTCAACTAAAATGTGTTCCCACAAGATTGATTGGAGCATCTCAAACTACAGGAGTCAAACATACGGTTACAAACGTGTCATGTCTGATAACAAAAATGAGAAAATGCTAGAAAATCACCTAATAGCCTACTGCGGGTTGCTCCATGTATTATTGCGTCCCAAAACTGTGACAGGAAACATTATGTCATATCAGTACAATGTACTGATAACCTGCTTATTTCTGCTCTCTGCTCTTACATATTCAACTAATGCAAATTGGGGAGTTATCTTTCGTGACTGTGTGTGTGAGAGCACTTACACCGGCCTAATTAACAGCAACTTTTTAAATATGTTCCCATGGGGTCCATAACAGCATGTTTACTGCGACATTTCACTCGTGTTCACCAGATTGTATATTTGCACTGTTTTCCACCTGTTCATCACTGAACATTGAAGGGATGCCACGTAAAAAGTGAAAGACAACTGATAAGTATGACATTAATTTTGATTGTAAAACAAACTGCGTTCACATTTGGGAATTAAAAATAGCAGCTTTTCCACTTGAACGTCTGGCGTCCTCTTGGTTTTGCTGTGTGGTTTATTAGGCTGTTAATCTGACAGTTTTATGTCTGAGTATTACAGTTGTATCGGTCAATTCATACTGTAAATTCATAGTCTCTTCCCCTTACGCACACCAAAAATAAATGAACAGTGACAGCATAGAGACTGAGCAAATCTAATTGGGGTCATTAACACGGTATGGTTAAAACAGGATCAGGCACCTCGAGTGACGAGCTGCACGTTTATTATAATTTATTTTACTGACGTTTACTTTTGCTTGAATTACGGTTCATATTTGTCCATTTCAGTGTGATTTATTTGATACAGATTTTACGGACATTCTCGGTTCTATGCACAGAGAAGACAAAGGGTTGAAGCCATGTACAATCCCTTCCGTCAGAACGCAGTGCCGAGTCTTCCACCCTTCCATTCATCTGCGTGTCAGTCTGCAGCGCAACCTACCGTGCATTGCTTCGGCTATTTTTATTATGGTTGCAATTGGTAAACAATACAGCAATTCCGACCCATGGTAGCTTTTCATTGGTTCAATAATACGCCAGTCACATCACTTCCGCCCGTTTGTCGGATTCTGATTGGACGGAGGGCTCCTTTTTTTTCTTCTGCTTGGCGGCGGTGAGTCGGAGCCGCCGTAACCCCGGTCTGGCACGTTCCTTGCTATCTGAACGTTGTAAAATTGGGCCCGTTCTTTCCCCCCCAAAGTCAAGCAACCTCATCATTTTACCGCATCTATCTGGACGTTTTTGTCTCAAACACTACTCCAAATACCCACTAGATACCTCATAAAATGGCGGTGGTAAGCGGTATGTCGGGGTCGGCGATAGCCCGGCTGGAGGGCCGAGAATTCGAGTATTTGATGAAGAAAAGGTCGGTGACCATTGGCCGGAACTCCTCGCAGGGCTCCGTGGACGTCAGTATGGGACACTCCAGCTTCATTTCCAGGCGGCACCTTGAGATTTTCACGGCGAGCGAAGATGGGACCGGCATGGGGGAATTCTACCTCCGATGCCTTGGGAAAAATGGGGTTTTTGTGGATGGGGTGTTCCAGAGAAGAGGGGCTCCACCTCTGCAGCTTCCACGAATGTAAGATTATTGAATTAGCGCGCTTTAACCTACAGAGTGTCGTGCGTTATGTTGTCCCGTGTTGTTGTTTTGTTGTCCGGCAGCGGTGTTGCACGTGCTGTGTCAAGGAACGCTCAGGGTTTGTATTGCGATAACGTCACGACAAACCTCCATGCCAGATACGAGAGTGGGATTATGTTTGTACTTCTAACCCACCAAATCATTTAAAGAGCCTCGTTCATTTAATAATTTGAATAATTGTTCAGTTTTGTCTTAGTCGGGGTGGATATTTTCACCCAAAACGCATCTCCCAGATACATTAGCACACTTGCCCCTTCATTTACAGACAGCTAATTTTGTTTAGGGCACAAATTTACCTAACTGTGGTTTATTTTAATTTCAATGGCTTGTTTGTTGTATGCCGAATTGAAGAGCGGAGTGTCAGATTATTCATATATCCTTGAAACAAAGTGAAACCGTTAAGAGGCCAAGATTGATCCAGAACTTTCTTTAAAGTGGGTCAATTTTATAAGGGGTACCCACCCAAGCTACATGCTAGCCACACGAGCATGGTAGTAAGCAACATCGCGTGTTGCCAAAACATTCACGTATGACAGTGTGTAAGCGGACAAAATGGCGATTCAGTTTTGCCGTATTCTTGAAGCTAACCATATTTTACATGTAATGGTGGTCGTTTAGTATCTAATAAACTGGGCCGGTGTTTAGTTAAATCCTGATTGTTATTGCAGCTAATTTGATCTGACGGTCAAACTTTGCTTCATGTTTCCAGTCAGTGTGTTAACACGCCTCAATCTTGTCGCAGCCCCACACATTCAGTAGCCTGTGCAAACTCAAAACGTCACTTGTGTTTCAATTACTGTACTTCATGGGAACAGCTCAGTAGCAGACGCAAAGAGTAACTTCATTAAAAATAAATCAGGAAGATATTGCATAGTCATCTTCATTCATCTAGTAGTAGTAGGAATGTGAAAAAAAATATTCGAAAAACAGCTTTTTTGTTTGTGTGTGTTTGTTTGTTTCCAGATGTTGCTTCCGATTCCCAAGCACAAGTATAAAAATCACGTTCACCGCACTTTTAAGTGAAAAAAAAGAGCAGAGAAATGTGCCCGAATCGCCGGTCAAGTCGGTACAACCTCAAATTTCTCCACTGACCATCAACATTCCGGACAATATTGCCCACCTTATGAGCCCGCTGCCTTCACCCACAGGCACCATAAGGTCAGTCAACGTAGTGGTTTCATTGCTTTAGTCACTTGATTACTGTAAGCAGAAAAAAAAAACATACGTTAACATTTTTACATTTTACAGTGCTGCAAACTCCTGCCCATCAAGTCCAAGGGGGGCCGGACTGTCTAGCTATAGGAGTGGCCGGGTCCTGGCCTCAGACCTTATAGCAGATAACTCCCAGTCAGAAAATGACAAGGAGGCGTCAGGTGAAGACAGCCCAAAGGTGAGTAGTATTGGTCACAATGGTGGATGTACGATTCCACTGGAAATGAGATTTGTATTTTGTACAATGACGGCTGTAAAATTCAGCGAACCTTTAATGTGCTCAGAATGCCCTTGGTTACTCATTGAAGTCTAAAAATTGCCCAACGCTCTCTTCAGGGTAGACTTTGGAAGACAGAACTCGATTGAACCTGTGTGTGTGTGTGTGTGTGTGTGTGTGTGTGTGTGTGTGTGTGTGTGTGTGTGTGTGTGTGTGTGTGTTGGTTTGCGTGTGTGTTTGCGTGTGTGTGCGTGCGTGTCTGTGTGCCTGTGTGAAAAATGGTTGTTTTTAGTTCTCCCTTTAGTTTTTCCCTCACATCTCATGTTGTTCTCTGCAGGATGACTCGAAACCACCGTATTCATATGCACAACTGATCGTCCAGGCCATTACCATGGCCACAGATAAACAACTGACACTGAATGGAATCTACACCCACATCACAAAGAATTACCCCTACTACAGAACAGCTGATAAGGGATGGCAGGTCAGTGTCACACTCACTCCAGTGGGAATGTTGTGTTTCTCATTCAGCTTATCACAAATCATAGTACTGCAGGGGGACCAGGCTTTTTCTAACTTGTGACCAACTTTGTTTTGGTAGTTTTGGAAGCAGCCACGAATACCAAAAGACAAAGATCAAATCTTATGGGAAGTCAGACAGAAAAATGTCATTTTGTATGAAATTATTCTCCCAACGTGTCATGATGTCATTGGCAAAATTTCACAATACCATATCGCAAAATAATCTAAAATTGCTCCCCTATATACAGTACATGCTCATTTAAATCAATTCAAGTCAGCTTCATTGCCATCAAACACACGTTTTGGGTGATATTAATTCATTTTTATGTTCAATTCTTCCTGACAGAAATATAAATTGCATTGCATCACAGGATAACTTTTTTTGTTGGTAATCACACTCCGAAATCCACATTTATTAGTATATTGTCCAAATCCAGTCTCAATCTTTTTTTTTTTCCCACTTAAGAAAAAAAATGCTCAGCAAGTATTTTGCTCAGAGGCAACTGTCTCGCGCTCATCCAACGCACTCACCTCAGCGGCAGCATACACGTGACGATGGCAGACGGCCTAAGATCAGACACAAATTTATGCGTGAGTGTCAATCGGAAAGTGCTTGCAGTCTTCCAGATGACAAGCTTGAGAGATGAACATAAACGCCAGCTGTAGAAGGGTTGAGAATTTTGTATATGTATCACGGTGAGGATGCTACTACTGATTTCATTTTTGGTTTTCTTACTTTTTTGGGGGATTAAACATGCAAGTAACATAATTCACCAGGGAAAAAAAAAAAAAAACTCTTCCTTGCTGCTCTTTACGGTCCACCATAATTGAGAGCCCGTTCATCCGGATCCTTGTCGCGACTTAACATATTCATGAAACATTCATTCTATATTCCTTCTATTTATGTGTGCAGAACTCCATCCGCCACAACCTGTCCCTGAACCGGTACTTCATCAAAGTAGCACGCTCTCAGGAGGAGCCTGGCAAAGGGTCCTTCTGGAGGATCGACCCTGCTTCAGAAGGCAAACTCGTAGAACAAGCCTTCAGGAAACGTAGGCCAAGGGGGGTGCCTTGCTTCAGGACCCCCGTGGGGCCCCTCTCTTCCAGGTACAGCTTAACCCGAGAATATAACAGCAGACTGCTCGGTCACGTTCATTCACAGACAAGTATTTTGATCCCCGCTTTTCCAGGAGCGCTCCCGCTTCTCCCAATCACACCGGGGCGCTGTCGGCTCATTCCAGCGGCGTGCAGACCCCAGATAGCCTTTCCAGAGAAGGGTCCCCGGTCCCCATGGAACCAGAGCGTACCCCACCACCAGCCCCCGCACCAACTGCCACCGTCCAGCCTAAACTTGCTGTCATCCAAGAGGCTCGCTTTGCGCAGAACTCTACTGGTAATAAATAAAAACAAAACCTAAACTTATGTGCTATTTATTATATTCGTGTTTTCAAATACACGTCATGACATTCTTTTTTTTATCCCCAGCATTTTCGACCTCATTCTAGTTGAGACTCAATCAGTTACGATGCCCATCAGTTGCATAACGTATAACCAAAGTGTGTATCGATGACATCACTCCCCACCCGTGTCCACCAACAGGTGCTCCACTCACGAACCAGCCCGTATTGATCGCCATGCAACGCCCGATGCCTCAGACGACCATGAAGCCTGTGACCTACGCCGTGGCGACGCCGGCCATCGTGACGACGACGGTTAGCCCCGCGCCCGTCATGCAAACGGTGCACGTCGTCCACCAGATCCCCACCGTCGCCATGACACCTGTCGGCGCGCAGCCCGCTGCTTTGGTGAAGCCAGACTCTCAGGAGAATGGAGGGGGCGAGCACCAAGAGATCAAAGGTTTGCCTGCTGATAGCTTGTATGACGACGACGATGACGATGATGACGTTGTTGTTGTTGTCACCTTTTGTGCATAGTGAAAGTGGAGACGCTCCCATCCATCACAACCTCGTCGATAGGCGGAGTCGGCCGCATCATCCAGAGCGCTCAGGCGGCTCCCCTGACTACAGTAACCATCATGCAGCAGGCTCCGCTCGGTCAGCACCAGCTGCCCATAAAGGCCATCACACAAAATGGAACTCACCTGGTCCCCATCAGTTCGGCTGGCGCAGGTGAATAATTGTGTTTATACGCCCTGCGCTCACTCTGGAAATAAGTGCCACTGCCTCCTATTGGAGTGGATGTGCAATTACACTATATTTGAAAAAATAAAATTAATAAATAAGCATGCTTTCAAAACTCAACCCTGATGTTAAATAGACATACTGTAGGCTACCTGTCTTTATGACCTGCCCCGCTGGGAATAAATAGTTACAGTCCTGTAATTATTACATTGAAAGCGCGATATAAATCAGGATGTATTGTATTTGTGATGTCACTGACACACAAGACGGAACTAATTCACATGGCTCAAGATTCTAGTTGGATATGTCGTATTTTGTATAAAGTGGTTCAGTTCAGCTTGTATCCCGCTCTTCCCATCTTCATCTCCTCTTTATTTTGCCTTTCCTGACTGTCATCTCGTTGATAACCAGTCTCCAGTGCGCTCGCTCTTTTTATCACTCTCACCTTGCTTCTCGTCCACTCTCTCAACACCGTCATCTGGCTGTGTCTCAATTTCTGTGTCATTCATCTTTATGGTGAACAAGTAGGACATCGTGTCTCCCCCCCTTTCATTTTGAATTATTAAACAAACAGCAATGGAAAGGAATACGCATTATAGCTTCACAGGATTTCAGAAACAGAAAAAATGGCACAAATGCGGATTTTTCCAACTGTAATTGGGCAGCATTTGTTTCTTGTATAAAGTTTAGCCAAGCAATTGACTGGAGCTCCCCCCCGCCCCAACTTTGGTATTAACAATATTTAAAGTTGTCATATATTAATAGAAACTCTTTGAAATCTTCGCACTGTTTGTAATGGCTGCTCTTGTCGCATTTGCTTCCCCTCCGAAGCAGCCGTCGCAAACCCCCTCCACCTTCTTGCCACCCACGCTTCAGCCTCCGCGTCCTTGCCCACCAAGAGGCAGAACGGCGAGCTGCAGGAGGCGCCCGCGTCCAAGAGGGCGAAGACGCAGGAGGGCGACGGGAGCGAGGCAATTGCCGCAAACGGCAACAACAACAATGGCTCCGCCGCCACTGATGGCGCCGGAGAAGCGGAGGTTAGTGAAACGGTGGGCAACCAGTAGCCCCTCTCCCCCCTGTCCTCCTCTCTCCTTATGCATCCTGAGCCCTGCCGTCGCCCACATTGAGCCTCATGCCGTCCACGCTCTGACCTCTTCACCTTTTACTGGTCATCACCTACGGCAAGGTGCCAAAAAGAGAAGAGATTACTCAAAGTGAACGTTCCAATCTCGCCCCCCATCCCGGTCCACACGGAATTAAGAATCCCAGCATTGTCGGCCTGCGAGCGGGAACCCCCCTCTTGAAGCACAGGGAACGAAAACTCCCAAATTCCAGCGGACTTTTTGGGGACCGAAACATGCCAACAGCCTCGCCGATGGTTGCATTCTCAGCACTTGGAAGTGCAATCCATCATGCAGCCAAGCCAAGATCGGCCGCCAGGGGAAGCGCGCGTACGTGTGGACGTTCCCATCTTCGGCAGCTAGCCTCCCTTGACCCGGTTGTGAGTAGATCTATATGCAGTATTCCATTGTGCAAAGGTGTCTTTGGAGCTCTTCATTTCTCCAAGGACCAAGTGATGAATTATGATTAGAAAAACCTATAAGTGGGGTCGTGATGAACATTTAAAACTCTCGCCTGATATTTAGAATTTTTTTGTTTTGTTTTTGTATGTGAACTTTGTTCAGTGAAATGAATGTAGTCTTCTTTATTTCTTTTCTTTGAAACACTATCTAATATGAGTGGATCCCCGACTGCTCATTCTCGCAAATGACATTTTGTTTTTCCACCACTGTACACGGACAGACTTTTTTTCCATATTTTACAAATGTCCAATGAGATGATTAAAAAAAAAACAAAACAAAACAAAAAACAAGTATATTGCCATGCGTATTTGACCGTATGCTTCATTGAGCTTGCATGTTAACAGATCTAGAGATATAATGTACCGATTTATCTGAATATGGAACTGAAGAAAGTTTAGACTGAATCTATGCTTCTTGATTCTGCCCAGTGCTGCACTTACGCCTCTTCTTAGTTGTGTATATAATTTTTTTTATTCTATTTTTATCAATACAACAATGGCTCCGCCGCCACTGATGGCGCCGGAGAAGCGGAGGTTAGTGAAACGGTGGGCAACCAGTAGCCCCTCTCCCCCCTGTCCTCCTCTCTCCTTATGCATCCTGAGCCCTGCCGTCGCCCACATTGAGCCTCATGCCGTCCACGCTCTGACCTCTTCACCTTTTACTGGTCATCACCTACGGCAAGGTGCCAAAAAGAGAAGAGATTACTCAAAGTGAACGTTCCAATCTCGCCCCCCATCCCGGTCCACACGGAATTAAGAATCCCAGCATTGTCGGCCTGCGAGCGGGAACCCCCCTCTTGAAGCACAGGGAACGAAAACTCCCAAATTCCAGCGGACTTTTTGGGGACCGAAACATGCCAACAGCCTCGCCGATGGTTGCATTCTCAGCACTTGGAAGTGCAATCCATCATGCAGCCAAGCCAAGATCGGCCGCCAGGGGAAGCGCGCGTACGTGTGGACGTTCCCATCTTCGGCAGCTAGCCTCCCTTGACCCGGTTGTGAGTAGATCTATATGCAGTATTCCATTGTGCAAAGGTGTCTTTGGAGCTCTTCATTTCTCCAAGGACCAAGTGATGAATTATGATTAGAAAAACCTATAAGTGGGGTCGTGATGAACATTTAAAACTCTCGCCTGATATTTAGAATTTTTTTGTTTTGTTTTTGTATGTGAACTTTGTTCAGTGAAATGAATGTAGTCTTCTTTATTTCTTTTCTTTGAAACACTATCTAATATGAGTGGATCCCCGACTGCTCATTCTCGCAAATGACATTTTGTTTTTCCACCACTGTACACGGACAGACTTTTTTTCCATATTTTACAAATGTCCAATGAGATGATTAAAAAAAAAACAAAACAAAACAAAAAACAAGTATATTGCCATGCGTATTTGACCGTATGCTTCATTGAGCTTGCATGTTAACAGATCTAGAGATATAATGTACCGATTTATCTGAATATGGAACTGAAGAAAGTTTAGACTGAATCTATGCTTCTTGATTCTGCCCAGTGCTGCACTTACGCCTCTTCTTAGTTGTGTATATAATTTTTTTTATTCTATTTTTATCAATTGCGCTCAGTTTTTCCAAGCCCCCCTTTCCCCCAAGTGTTTACCTTTTTTGTGTTGAGGTTGTGGCAGTCTCTTTATCAATGCTATTCTTCTGTTAACTCAACGTGTCGAATCATATTGTATTCTCTGTTACACAAGGAAAGACAAGTGGTAGGTGTTTGTTCTGCTTCAGTGGGTAAATGATTTTTTTTATATATATATAAAATATATATATATGAATTTATTTAAAACCTTGCCTCTTAGTTTGTATTTCTTGGAGTAAAAATCTCTGCTTGGCTATTCTGCATTCACAATACGTGACATTTTATTTTTTTTTGTTTGTCTTGATACTTCTCAGGTCAAACTCGCAGGATACATTCGAGTTAAATGGTGTGAGGGAAGGAAGACATTCCATGTGGTTTAATCAGGATTTTACAGGAAGGCCGTGTGCGTCATCCACCTCCGCAGCATTTACAAACCTGATTAATTACAATTTTGCACCCACCTGCATATGTTCACACACATTGTTTGCCCCACTTATTTATTGTCGTTTTTTTTTTTGTTTTAAATTTAATGTTATTCTTATTTTTACTCCGTTGCATAAGGGTTAAGCAGTAGCCTTACCGCGGCGGAGGCATATTGACTGCTTCCTTAAAAATGGAAAATTGTTAGCTTCCATCTTTTTTAAAAACTCGTGATGTGACAGTGCAGTAAACACAAAATGTCAAGCCAACATGTATCATTTCTTTCCCTTACGCAGTTTTTATTCAACCGATTGATATGCAGCTGCGCATGAGAAACTTAAAAATTCAAAGCGACAATCTACACTTAGGATCCCTCCTGACCCGGGTTATTATAGTTTGGTAATTTTAATTATAGTTAGTTTTCGCTCATGGTTTTGTGGGTTAAAATGCACACGTACACCAACTTTTCCCAACACACTCATGAGGCAAACTGGCAAATTTCACTATGGCAAGTCTATAATTGTTGACCTTTGGGGCATTTTGTATTATTATTATTATTTTGACGAAACACGTCTTTCGATAAGTTTTTTATTTTGAAATTGTCGTTTTGGGTGTTTGTTCTGAAATACACCACCGGAAGTGAACCGTGACCGCTGCTGCAGTTTGACACGTCGAATGGAGGAGGAGGAGGAGGAGGCGAGTCCTAAACCGCAGCAGCGTGTTGTTGCGACGCTGCGTGGCACTGCTTGCTTAGGACTGCCTATGATTTGCGAACACCCCCCCCAACCACCCCCAACCACCACCACGCCACCAGCAGCACCTCCGACGCACATGGCCGAACCCTGCCTCCGTCAGCGGGGCTGAGCTAGTTGCTACCAGCCGGCCGGAGCGGCGAGCTAAACTACCGTCAAACACCCAACCCACCCGCTTCATCAACCGACCTCCCATGGGTGTCGCTGCCGGGAACGTCCTGACTCGTCGTCCGGTGCGGCAAACCACCGCAGAGTCGCTCGGCACGGGCCACCGGAGAGATCGTGTGTCGGCCGGGAAGCGGGACTTGAGGACGCGGCCGCTGATGTGATGCCAGAGTCGGGCAGTAAAACAAAGGTCCGAGTGTAAGGAAAAGCCTCCAGGTAAGCGAGACATTTTTTTTATTTATTTACACTCTAACTTCCTACCTCTTCTGGGCACGTTTCTATAACAGACTAGAATATTGCTTGCCTATGTTCTCATAATCAAACCAGCCTGTTCAAGACAAAACGCTACCCCCCACCAAGAACGGTTTTTAATGAAGAAGCTTGTCCCTTGGAGATAATGCCTAGCACATTTTCATTTAGTCTACACAGGGCAACATATGTTATTTTATATTGGGTATCTCTGCCATGCATTGTTGTTTCACACACACCCATTTTAAATCAAACAAAATGTGTGTGTTACACTGTGACCGACTGTGGAGTCTATGCGTTTTATGATTTTATGCAATCTCAAGTGACAGCACTGGACTAGAGTTGAGTCTCCCTCAGTTCGGCTGTCCTTGGTTAGAAACTCGGTTTCAGCCTTTTCGCTTTGGTCTGCATGTGTTGTGTTGTCTTCCGTCCACGTTCTCCCAAAACAAGCATTTTAAGTTAATTGAAGAGTCGAATCATCTATACTCAATCAGGAAAAGCTCCAGGTCACCGGCCACCCTAATGAGAACATGCACTATAGAAAATGGATGGATGGAATTAAAAAGGCCAGCATGTGGGGTGGGGGGCTTGTGTTTGGAATGCCTTCCTCAACAGTTCTGAGGTCCTGGGTTTGAAGCTTTGCTGTGGCCTTACTATATGGAGTTTACATGTGCTCCCGGTCAAGGTTTGAAGTAGAAGACAAGAAGCTGCTGTTACTTGTTGAGTGGCTGGAGGCCAACAAGCAATTATGTGACATCTGCTCCGTCTTCGCAGATGTGTGCTTTCATAGCATGTTGCAACAAAGGCCTGCTAATCAGCCTAATGAATGCCCTCCCCATCCCAGACGCTCACATTTTGAACTCTTAATGAGATTTTGTCCGCTGTCGTAGGTTTTGCAACAATAATATATTTTGCGAACCCCCGTGGTTGCGTTAAAGGTGGTGTCAGAAAAAGTAGGTTCTGCGGCGGCAAAGGTCTCTGCTGTCAGCACGGTAGATAAAAGACAGTCGGGGCTCAAAGGGTCCCTCTGATCACATCACATGTTGGTTTTGCTTATCTTCTCAAGCCCTGTCATCTGTCTACGTGCTTTTCCATTGTGGTGCTTTTCCTCTCTCACATTTTTATCAGTTGGTCAGACTCTGTGTGACAACAAAGTCTCGTTTTCCACCGGATAAGCCAACGCTGTCATGTTCACAGGGTTAAGAAATTAGAAACACCCTGAAATGGTCGCCAGCTAATTTCAAGCCACACATACACAAACAACCATTCATATTTGTTTCTTTCCAGAATATGTCTTGGAAAAATGTCTTCTTAGTCAAAATATATACAGAAGAGTAAAGCCACACAATTTTCAGGTATTGCATCGTAGGCCACATTGTTAGTGTAAGCAGTGCACATCGGTGAGAATGCGCTTTGATCAACAGAAGCTGGAGGAAAACAAAAAAACAGTAATAAAAATCATCTTGACAAAAATGTGAAAAACAAAAATCAATTGCTCACCTCTCCTAACATAATGCAACTCAAACGGACGATGAGGGTGATGAGTAAACTATGAATACAAAAATCCATCTCCAGTCATATTCCCCCCGCCCCCCAAAAAAAGGCAACATTTCAAAATGGCTCCTCAAGTGGAATGTTAGCGTTCGCGTCTCCAATATAAGTATGAGAAAGCAATTTTTTCTTTCTTTTTTTTGTGCCTCTTCAGTAGACAAACGTTACAAAAAAAAAAAGGAAACATTTTCGGATTGCCTAGAGAGAGCGGCAATGCAATCAGGAGTGGGTACTCAAGAGAAATACAATTAGATCCTCATCGGCGGATAACGCGCCTTCGCCTACCGATGCACTCATATAAAAACCACGCTGCAAAAAGTTTCAACCACTTCCAAGTTTGTATGACGCATGATCAAAATGATTCGAAACTGCTCTGTATATGTCATACAGCCCCGCTTCCCAAATAGGCCTCAGAGAAGAAAAGTGGCGTGAGGGAAGGTGCTTTAAAAAGAAAAAAAAATCCCATTCTTTTTAACCGTATCCATCCATGTTGTTGTCTGTTTCTCATCAGAGATTCTATTTTAAGAGCAGCCCGCTGGATCACAGCGCGCCGCTGTTTCCGCCTTCTTCAATACCAACGCGCACAAAGAAACGATACGTCTTAGATGCCGAGGCCTACTTCAGGTTTTCGAAACGATGCGTATGTCTTAACTCTAAGCGCCTCACTCTATCACAAGTTACACAGTGACCCGAATGGACGACTTCTTCAAATATCAATCTCATTGCTACATGACAGAGGCCTTCAGTGGGGAATTAATTCCATCATTATTCAACGCGCCTCAATCCCATGATCGGAAGTCAAAACAATACAGACGACCAAAAATGTTTTTGAAACGTTATTCTTTAACTTGAACTTGTCTAGCATGAATATTGTTAGAATGCTTGTATTCATTATTAAATGAACGCACCAAGGATGCATTTAAGGCTCGTGCGGTGAAATGCATTAGTGACCTACATAGGGTAGAGGAAGATACTTCTTGCAATTAAATATGGAAAGAAAGAAAAAATGCAACGCAGCCCTTCTGTTGTCGGGGAAAAAAAATACATAAATAAACGTGGGCAATATAAGATCCATACGAATATATGACCCCCATCGCAGCTCCATAAAAATAACGGTATGCCTGTAGGAGGATAGTAAATGTCTGAATGCTGTTTGTTTTGAGGCTGTGATTATATTAAAACATCTTTGGTTGGGGTATTCTTACTGACACCACAAACATGTCCTGTGTACTTAACGTACTTGATGATAAATAGCACTTTGTGCCCCCCCGGGCTCTTTTTCTTGATGCAAAAAGCCGGTTTGATTACTAGATTTAAATACAGCACTGCCCTCGTTTTTCGCCGTTACTTGGTACCCGAAGCCGCAAAACTTAATGTGCAAAGTGGCGAGGGATGACCGTCGTCTTGAAATGAACCAAGCTTTTCCTGTTCCGTTCAGGTGGGCACTCTAAATTGGGCCGGAATGAACCACGCCCTCTGTTGGTGTTTTACAAGTAGGAATGCGGAATTACAGCGGAATGCCATTTGCTCGAGTCGGGGGCACAGCTGCTGGCTTAAGTAACACAAGTCAGCCTGCTTTTGACCTCCAGCAAAATTATTACTCCACATCTCGTGCGTTTTACATACCAGAATCCAACACGCCCAGACCCCCGCATCCACCCCCCTTACATTGTCGCCCTAATGAAATCACGTTAATCCCCTTTTCTCCCGAGTGCTGTGAGCATTCTCTCTTTTCGGTTGCGTCCAATCATGATGGGGGCAGTCCTCCGAGGGGACCCGGTTAGCCTGTTAGGCAGCTGCTGGACTTGGACCCAGCTGCCGCGTCGGCCAAGGCGGAGAACTTCCCGGTCGGAATTATGGCAATGACTTCAACAGCTTTGCGTTGGTGAGCCACCAACCTTTGTCGCAACCAACATACACCCACTTTTCAACATCTGTCGCTATTACAGAATTGCTACATACAGTCGCTGATATAAATAGAGCACGGGTGCCCAAAATTTTTGGGGTAGTCCACTGTCCCGTACTTCACTAGAATAGATCCGCCGCCCCTGCATTAGTCAGCAGTACTTGACCAAGAGTATCAGTCGAAGTAGTTTCTTACCATCCCTGCATAGCTATAAAAATTCTGATTTGTTTTGGAACCTAGTCAGCCTTATTTGCTGAAAAACTATATTTTACTCTTTGGAACTCTCTATCCACCGTTTTTGTGTTCAGGCCCAAACAATCATTTGGTGCCACCGTGGTAGCAAGAAATTGTGTTGAAGTTAGTTTAGGAGTTTCTTTTAGACAAATGTAGTCCTTTGCTGCCACCTTGTGACATTTATAAGCAATACCAGTACAGTAGTAAGCCTCCTGGCGTGGCAACAATTACAGGGGGATATTTACAACACAGGAGGCTCACTATGTGCAAAAACATTTGTCATTCGTATCAGTTATAGTAGTTGTCGGCCATGGAGGAGTGGGGGTTAATTTATGAGGCAAGCGTTGTCCACTCTGCCTCTTCCCCCACCCTGAAAACAAACAAAAAAAAAGTGGGGTTTCTTCCGGTCCCTGCGGACCACCGAAGTACCATGACTTGACCCACCTACACGCACACTGGCGCTCTGTGGCACCTAAATGGACGCTCTGTTCTCGTCCTCCTCCATCCATGCGCGCAGCGGGAGACCTCAGCCCGGCGGTGTGGAGCGGCATTGGCAGGTTAACTCGGGCTGTAATTTGCCAGGGCCTGTTCCAGCGCGAGGACAAGCAGCGTCGTTGTTGTGAACACAGCTGTTTCCTCCGGCTTTGTGTGCAGAGGAGGGGGCGTGGTGGGCGGCGGGACGAAATAGAATAATTCCACGTGTGGGCTCGCACGGTAGTCACTGATAATGTTTGGGCCTTTTAAAGGAAGTCCTGTGTTTAGCTTGACCTGGTTACACCCCATTCAGTGAGATAATGCGATAGCACTCAGATACTGTTTTTTTTTTTTTTTTAACTCTCTCAACTACAAACTCTGGAACATCAAGGGGGGCGGGTTCTGTGTTCCTCATTTTATTTGTTTACTTAGCATAATTACCGTTTAGCATTAGCCACGGCCAGAGCGAGGGGAGTACCCCACTTGTAGCATCCCTCTCAAACTTCAGTCGCCAATTTTTGCGCTTGCCTGCTAAAATTGTAAAATCTCGACTTGACTTTGACGTGGTATTCCTGAGACTTGAGTTCGACTTGAACAATGCGTCACTTGACTCGTCTTGCTTGTTTACATTGGAAAATCTGCATTGTCACGGTAGTCTTACGTCACATGGGACTTGGCTTTTTTGCCTTTGTGAAGCTACGTGGCATAGTGCGTCTCCCCGCCACGGCCGACCGAGGTGGTTTCCCTGAGCTGCCTGCGCGCACTCCACCAAAAAAAAAAAAGAAACAATCGTGTGGATCAA